CGTGCTTAGCCGTTAAGCCACATCAGACCACGGAGGAAGTGACTTCAATATTTCCTTACACCAATTAATCACTCATAATACTAATGAATAATAGGACTTACACACTTCTGAGGTGCAAACCAATTCGTTACTTGGATGAATTGACGGTATATTGCTTCAATATATCATGCATACCTAAATCAAACAAGAAAAGGGTATTTGACACAACTGTACTTGATCCGCATACTCTACACAATTTTTTTGCTTCTTAACCGTATATTCTTTTCCGTTTTGTGGAGTATTCTGATGCACCCTTGGTTACGCACCTAGTTGTATCTTATTATTTTATGCAGGCAGTGGAGCAGTTCTTCAGGTTTGCTTGATTTTCACCATTACCTTTGAAGTAGATTCTTCTTTACCTTTTACTTGAGGGCGACTCAAAAGGCAGGTGAGTAAACACCTGATAGCCGGTCTGAGCATGGAAAAATCGTACCTCACCAACATGGTGTTGGGTAGCCCGCTCGCGGCACTTCCACAGATATTCTTATTCCACATTCTCACACTCTTTCTCTTAAAAGCACGCAGCAAACCGTCAGCGATAGTTGTAGAAGAGATCACATGCTACAAAATAAGATGACAAGCTAGTAAATGAGGAGACATCCATGGACTATCGTTGACAGCGTTAGTCGTCACTGATTGTAAGTCAAATAGTGAGCGAGTTGATAATTTTCCGTTGGGATGAGAAATAGAACTAAGGTGTTTTCGATAGATAGGTTAATCGAACCGACGTTCCTAAGGACGTCGATTCTAGGGGGAAGCTAATGTAACAGCTTAGGTTGGTTGGTTAAGAGTTGATCCCAAACAACCAAGCATATGCCAAAACAGTATTGTTCAAGTATTCATTCACTTCCTTATTTTGTATAAGCGTTATATTCCCTATCACCATCTTTCTTGGCTAGTCTCGTCACATGCTGAGTCAGTATGTTTTTGAGCCTCAAGGACTGTTTGATGAATTTTCATTCCCTGATGTCAGAATTTGATTGAGTAGGGTCTGTATTTTCCGGTATACCTTGCACAATTATGTTTCTTCCGCGGAAAAACTTTGTAACAGCTTAGGTTGCTAGGTTAAGAGTTGACCCCAAACAACCAAGCATATGCCAAAACAGTATTGTTCAAGTATTCATTCACTCCCTTGTTTTGTATAAGCGTTATATTCCCTATTATCTTCTATTGAATGTTGAGAGCCTTTGTTTGTCTGAACAGATAATCCCACGCTCCACTGTGACTGCGCTAAGATCGAAATAAAGACCTATTCACTACTTGTCTGGTTTCTTCTATCAATAGCACGAGGGTTACTTTAAGACACGAAACCTTCTTATTACCCAACACCAGAAGACGAATTGCTTCCTGGATAAGCATTGTTTTGCTCGAGCAATAAAAACAACAATGCCAATGAGAGTTGGGCTTTGAGCACCTTTTATATGCAGTGGGGCTTAATCGGGTGCACATCTTATGGAACCACTTATTACACTCATCAAATTGCAAATGGTTGTCCACATTTAAAGGGCAGATCTATCCATTTTGAAAATCAACTAGAACGGTAACACAAACAGGATATGTAAAAGGATTCTCAAACCTTAACTAAATAAATCAAGTGAAAGTCGACCAAGTATGCTTCGATGCAATAAATACACAAAGGCAAAATCGAAACACTCAATACGATATCACTTTAACTGGGGTAGATTCAATTAAAGTGTAAACAGTAGTTTTGATGCGTAATTTACGATCAAAACAGTTGATTAACTCAACGAGAAGCAATACCACTGTCCTTTTTAGATAACGCGCGTGTTGATATTACGTGTTCTGGTAGAGAATTCCGGTAATTCACTACTCGGTGCAAGAAACAAAACTCCTAACATAGACGATTTAATCTCGGTTTTTGAAATTTCGTCGAAGAAAATCTCCGCTTAGTGAGTTTTCGAATAGTCAGATTTTGGAAGTGAATGCTACGAGGGCCTGTGTGGATAGACCGTTCTCGCTAGTAGTTCTATATGCCAATGCTCGTAGTCTAAGAAATAAATTCTATGAACTAGGGGCATTAGTGGGCAAATTAAAGCCACTCATTGTAGCCGTGACGGAAACTTCGTTAGTCCATATCTTCGGCATTACTCCAGAATTATCCGATTACCAAGAAGTAATACTACTACTAATAATAATAAGTGATAGACATAGATGTAGGAAAGAAGGTGGTGTCCTTTTATACATAGGCAATAATATAAATATCCGCTCCTTTACTTGCGAATCCCATGATAGTGGGACTTGTGAAGTCCTTAGCTGTGAGTCGACTACCGGATGTTGTACATTTATACTCGGTGTCATCTATCACAGCCAAATCTGCTTAGCTGATGACTTCATTTTAGAGCACAGTCTGTTATGGAGTGAGAATAACAGATGCTTGATATTAGGAGACTTTAGTGCACCCGATATTAGTTGGACTGAGATGGTAAGTAAGTAAGTTATAAGGTCATAGACTGGATAAGTGACTCTCCATGACAGGAGACAGAAGTTAAGGGTAAATGGGGCTCTCTTATGGTGGGAACCTGTAAAAAGTGTAGTTATCTAAGGTACAATCCTCAGTCCTATTCTCTTTTCACTTTATGTAAATGAATTACCAATTGTAGCAAAGTCATCCGTTCTGTTCTTCGCCGATGACGTAAAGATTTGGGGACCCCTACACAGTATGTCAGATAGAATATTATTACAGGGTGATCTCAACTCATTGGTGGCATCTGTGGGCAGATGGTCACTAGAAGTGAATTCTAACAAGACTGTGATAATGCAAATAAATAGCTATAATGATTCATATCACTACACAATACATGAATTTCTGTTACCCCAAGTAATAAAATAGAAAGATTTAGGAGTCATAATAAGCAGCGATCTCAAGACTAGGAGAAGCTGTACAGCTGCTGCTGCCAAAGTCTTTATAGTATTATGAGCTCTTCGTAGGTCTTTTCAGTATTTGGATGAAGAAATGTTGAGAGTATTATACACGACTTTCGTGATACCGCATTTGGAATATGGGATTCAAGCAGCAAGTCCTTGTTTCAAGTATGGAGCGGAGACGCTGGAACAAACCCAACGGCGAGGGACTAAAATGGTGAAAGGTCTCTATAGCCTATCTTATGGAGACAGACTGAGACACCTCAACCTACCTCCGTTAGCTTACCGTGGATTACGGGTGGTCTAATATTGACTCGTCGTATTCCCGTTGTCATATCGTAGAACTTGAGGCGACTTGATTACAGTTTTCAAATTGCTTAGTGATAAATTCTCACCTAACATGCCCTCATTTTTCTTATCTCCCAAAACAGAGAATTTACGAGGACACTTGAAAAAAGTTCACAAGCCAAGAACAAATTACTTGTTAGCTGACTATCGACTTTCCCATCGGATCATCAACGAGTGGAATTCATTACCTCAGCACGTGGTTGAGGCTCCATCCGTCGACTCTTTCAAAAGAAAGTTGGATCAACCGAGAGACTACCATTGGCAGGACTAACACCGGCCATCAAGCATCCTGTCCATCCCAAACTGAAACTGAAAACTGAACGAGCTAGTCCAAGCGACTTCTCAGGAGTCCTTCAAGAGGCAACTTGACCTATTCTTAAGGACTAAGGACAGCATCGCACTATGATTTACCAATTTCTTTTCCTCTTTTATTGCTAACATACCTAGGTTCCTGCCTGGAGGATTTGGTGATCCCCTGCTACTAGACACGGAAGCCTGTTAAGCGAAAGCTTCTTCTATTCCGTCCACAACCATTTGAACCATTTGAACCATTTGAACGATGACCTTGGTATTAATATGTCTTATTTTTCCCTTCCGTCTAGGACTGATTATTTGAGAGGATATTTGACGAAGGTTCAAAAACTGCGATTAAATCGTCTACGTTTAGAGTTTCGTTTCTTTCACCGAGTAGCGAATTACTGGGATTCTCTACCAGAACACGTAATATTAACACCTGTTGATATATTCAATTCGAGATTGGACCTGCACAGTGTTACAAGCACAAACAACCGAAAAAGGGGAAATAAAGGGGTAAATGCTTTGGAAGAGAAAGGGGAAAACGCAACTAGCTGCAAGGGTTAATATCCGTCGACAGACCTATCCTTATCACTGAATAAGTGTATATTTCCTTCCAAAGCAGATTGTGTCTAATTTTAGGCGCACACTACTTAACTGCTTAATGTCATTCATCTCCTAATCAAGAGGGTTTGGTGAAGCTAGGTAATGTTCTCCCCTTCTGAATTATACACTAAATCTCAATCTTAAGTTTCTCAAGTTTGTAAACATGAAGGTCCTAATGCATTGCATCAGATGGCATCGGTTTGAGTTGAGAACACCGGCCCAAATTCGTAAACTCAACTCAATACTCCATTTGAGCTCATAATACCTAACCCTGACCTTTTTGCATTACAACTGATATCAGTTGGTCGCGAAAACTCTGGTTTGATAATTCTATAGAGTTATAGCTCATAATACTATCTCGACTTTATATATATATATATATATATATATGCAGACTTGCTATTTCTCCTTAGTCGGTGGGATAATTTGGATTGTGTTTTAATTACTATGGTCAAAGCTGTTATCTTACTACTTCGTATTGTTAATTGTTTTATAACTAAGCAGCATTTCTTGATTAAGGCCGTCAGTTTATTAATTTTTACGCACTAATCTATGTCATGAGAAGTCGACTTTCGCTCATGCATTAAGCTAAAAGTATGGATGGGATAGAATTGTACTCAACGTTCTGATATTGTATTTGTCAAGTTCTTACAACTTTTAAGTGAATTATGCACCATTGAAGTATAATTTGATTCAGGGTTACCGAAGATCTTATTTTTACAAACTTAAATGTAAAACAGGTTCCTTTGGTCACGATATACGTAAATTATCCTTAGTTTTTGAAGGATTTAACTCTGATTTTCTTTATTCCTTTAGGTCTTGTGGATATTATGACTCTTAGTAGTGTGGCTGAGAAGCTTTTCCAACATTTTAACATTGATACCAAACAGTGGTCATACTCACGTATAACTGTCGCATTATTAGCTCATGAATCTTTTGGGATTGGTTTAGCTCTGGGTTTCTGGATAATATGCTATAAAAAGCAACCAGTTAGGTGTCTCACATCATTTGCTCCCATTGCCATACAAAACATTTATTCAAAGTATGATCCTAATTTCTCCCTAACTCATGCTTCCTAGAGGATTGGATTGGTCGGCAAGAAAACTTCGTCAGTTACCTTTATTCGTTTCTTCACAGGCAGATCCTAATCGGATTCTTATTAGTGGAGCAGAGAGTTACGTACTTCGTAAAATATTGTCACCTCTTACTATTCCTGGGAAGATATACATAGCCGTTCTAGTTTCCGGTATTGTCTGCTGAGAACTGGAAGCAGTCTACTTTTTTGTACAAAGCCATCATTTCATAAAAATACATATGACGTTATTTATTTGTGTCACGTATTCACTAAATGACACTTGTTAAATTAAATGCTGGTAATTTTTATATAAATCATTTTGCTACATAGCTTACTTGTCTAACTCGTATGAAGGATAATTCAACTGGGTTTATGCTAGGATATGCATGGCATGAAATATGCATTATGGTGGTGCTCTACTCATTTGTATGATAAGCAAAAACTATCTAGTTAGCATTTTATTTCAATATCATAAATTGCGTCCTCATCAGGTTCATTAAAACACTTTATCAATAGTTGTTTGTGCAAACATGTAATGTTTGCCCTTTGGTAGGTTTTGTCTAACCTGAAGGTACTTTGTGTACTTAGAGGGTGTGTGAGGGAGAATCTTGAAGAGAGCAAGAGAAAATATTACCCGACAAATCAATGAGCTTATTGATGCGTTTGTGTTTAATGATGAAAGCAACCGACCGATAAAACAGGTGTAATATTAATCCGGTTTGGTGATCGAAATTAAAATTGGTTAGTGTTTGGTCTCGAATAAGTTACATATGTCCTACTTTGAAAACTTTTTGCGGTGGATAGAGTCATAAACAAATTTTATACAAGTATGGCCTAAGTTATTGAATGTCACCGTCAACTGAGTATGATAGTTAACATTTCAAATCAAAGCGCGTGAAGTAAGTGTTTATAAATGGTAGATAACTACTATTGACCAGGGTCCCTGAATCTTATGTTCAAATTTTCAAGATAATGAACAGAATATCAGTTGATCTCTAGTGCATACAGTACGGTGCAATAAGTAGTCAGGTCAACTTACTAGGAAATAACGTCAAAAAGTATATTAGTATTGAGGTTTTGTCGCGCTAGACTACTGATATTAAGGTTAACATTTTAACTTAAAAATATCTCATGCAATTGGTTCCCTTTATGAATTTAAATAGAGCAAGAACAAACATTGATGCAGAATAGTATGAATTCATATTATTTCGAGGTTTCTCGTCAGCTGCTTACAAACCAAAATTGTGATAGAATTTTTACATGGAGATTGTGAAACAATTGACATAAATGAGTGTAAATAACTTGATTACAATAATAACTATATATATATGCTAGAAACAGGTCAGAGGATTAACCCCCCTCTTTTGACCTCTGACCTGTTTCTAGCATATATATATAGTTATTATTGTAATCAAGTTATTTACACTCATTTATGTCAATTGTTTCACAATCTCCATGTAAAAATTCTATCACAATTTTGGTTTGTAAGCAGCTGACGAGAAACCTCGAAATAATATGAATTCATACTATTCTGCATCAATGTTTGTTCTTGCTCTATTTAAAAATATCTATCGTCACATGGGTTAGGACTTTCAGGTTCGATGCACTAGGAGACTGATTAATCCTAACTGCGGCTGGTTTCTAATAAAGAATAGAGGGGATATCCAGTGGACCCTAATTTTTGAAGCCTTTCAACCGCAATAAGTCCTACAAATAAGGGGCCAAAGAGATTGTGAATCCGCTCGTAATCGGTAACATGTTTACTTTAATCTCAATTTTGTAAAGATTGAGAATAGTAACCATTCACTAAAAATTATGAATAGTGAAGTATTTGACAAGATAAACAGTTGACTGACTGGTGAGTCACGAAACTTCCGTCATGGTTATTTAACTGAACAAGCTCAGAACACTATACTGATAACACTTTCGGTCTACAAACGATTCGCGAAATGAATGCTGACTGGGAAGATATAATCTTTAGGAAATTTTATTCGGTAAAAAAAATTACATGATTGTTTATGTTAACTTCGATTAGAATTTGATGGAAAGTTATCAAATATTAAGTGGATATTCCTATATATATACTTTATAGTAATCACATTTCTTACATACTTAAAGTGTGAATGATGGCGAGAAGAGTATCGATTCGTGTGTTGTTCTCTTTGATTGAACATATATTTTGCTTGGTGTTCGCACTTTCATCTCTATTGACAGCATCTGACTTCAAGTTTACTTTATATAATTGACTTGAACTTCATATTTCTTGATAAATTGTTGTCCAGGTAATTGTAGATGGTTTTCAGCACGAACTTTCGCCAATTAAATGACCACTCAAAATCATGGGACATTGTGTATCTATGATCTAGTCAAGTCTTGAAACTAAGATCTTCATACCTCACGATGAGCACGTTATAATTAGACCAATACTGAGTCAAAATACGTTGATTTTAATGAATTGGCCATATGATGAGACAATCGTCCCATGTCATTGGCAGGCAACTATCTCATTTCTGGCATGGTTGAAGTTTACTAGTCTGTGACAAAGGCTATCTATAAACTAAATTGATCTCCATACACTTCTGCAGCAAACTATGATATGGTTTGTAGGTATTATTACCAATGTTTGACTTGATAATTTCGAATAAATTGAACATTGGGTAGATTGTTTTAAATAAATAATATTCTTGTTGTTCCGTTGTACTATTTAAACCTGGATTAATTTTGATTTGTTACCGATTACGAGCGGATTCACAATCTCTTTGGCCCCCTATTTGTAGGACTTATTGTGGTTGAGGAGCCTTCAAATAGTATATATATCGGGATATCTATTTAATACTATGTAAACTTGGATTAATTTTTATTTGGTCATTTATTTGTTCTCTGAAGAGGTGGCTTACACGAAGTCACGAAACGTCAGAAGATCTAATTTTTCTATTCATCGGGATATTACAAATATATTATTTATTTATATTAATTTCAGTAATTGTCATTTCATTTTATTTGTATATATTACACTGGTATAAACACATTAAGTTTTCGTTTGAAATGAAGTTCCTACGATTCAAAAACCACTCTTTTAATGTTTCGTTTTACCTTTCTAATTAGTTCTTTGTGATGCGTTGCCATCTTACAATTAAAATGTCCATACCATTTTAACTACTTAACTCGGAATGTTGGTAGCAAAACTTTTTTGAAAACCCGTCGACCAATGTTTTAACAGATCATGACATTTAACTTCGAGGTATAATAAATTTGCTGGACCTTAATGAATTCTCACAAAATTGTTAGACTAGAAATCTCGGTAATATTAATCCTTTCGTCACACAAAACAACTGACCACTTATATCCTTTTCAAAGATCTATTTTAATATCTGGAACGTAAGATTACAAACACTATATAATGAATAATACATTTCTAAATATATTAGAATTTATATGAAAAGATATCATTTTATGTGCTGTCAAATATCACTAAAGTGTCTTTTACACCATTTCGCACCTAAATGCAAAATCTAATTGTCATATGAACATAAGCACTCTGTCCGATTTAGTACAGATTATTAAAACATGTCAATTTGAACAAAACTACTCATCATATATAAATTTGAAGCGAAAACTAACCTTAATATTTAAGGATAAGAAAATATGCAAATTCGAGGAAACGGCTGGAGTTGATGCTTTAATAGGCTGTTTTACTCCTTTTAGTTAGTCTTAAACAAACCTACTAGTCAATACTTTTTTCTATGAGGTTAGACGAAGCTATTCATGGCAGTTACTTTTTGAAGTATTCATCTGAATCATGAAGCTAAATCAACTACACAGATCTTATCATTTAATAAACAAATCTAAAAGGCTTCATTTTAAACAGTTTAACAAATAGATACGTTATACGGCAATGTATGTATTTTTGCCCCAAGTAAGATTGATTAGTGTTGTAATTCTTATTATCATTTTTTATGCCAGGATAATAACGCAATTGATCGTTGAAATATCTACACAGTAATAAAAATTGGAGATGTCAAGTAGCAAAACTGTTAGTCTATGCAACATAAAAACACTTTGTTACCTTTTTTGAAGTTCTTTCATGTGTATTGGTACGACCCTCTTGCAAAGACTGAATTGGGCGTATTTCAACAGTTGGTAAGGGTAGTTTGGGACCATTTTTATTCCATTTTAGACCGTATGGAAAATGCTCTCCAACAACTACGCACAATTCATCCAGACAAGAAAGCCATGAGCGTAACCACTCAACATGTTCAGGAAGGCTATATACAAAAATCACAGTAAAAAGGACATGTAAAGTGAGAAAAAATTACTTTCTCATTTGCAAAAAGTGATAAAAGGAAAATATCCTAGACTTGGTATCGTACACAACACATATTTCCGATAGACTTGACTGACTAGAAGGGAAAGCAATAGTAGACAAACATTCCTAAATAAAGCCGAACAGATTATGGTATTTATTTGAACACATAAATATTGGTACAAGAGAGCGCCAATATAAATGCGCCACACAAAACAATGAGAATTCGAAGAGAAAAAAAAGGTAAGGAGCGTAAAAAAAAGAGAACAATAACGAAGAGATTGGTGTAAGGTAATGTAGTAATAATGAGGGAACGGAAAGGTACAACCAGAAAACATCCTTCAGTTAAGGAAGATACAACCATTTTTTATGAAGGTAAAAGAAAGTTATAGCAGGATCGGCACTGACATCTATTTTGAGCCATATCTGACGTCTCCAGCCACTGTATCGCACTATCTCTAGGACCCCAGCTAGGGAGTCGTGAAGGACCAACAGAAGCCAGTCCTGTACTGCTTTCTTTCAAATCACAATACCATATCATACACTGACCACCTCTCCGCTTCTTCCAACCAGTCCCAGAGTTGGCAAATAATGCACGACGTGGAATTCTCTGGAACGATGTTCGTAGAACATGTCCAAGCCACCGAAGTCAGTGTTTCAAGATGGTGACACCAATTGCATTATCATCTCTGTGTCCGAACACACGACGCCGAACCTCTGCATTACTAACATGGTGTTGCCACTGGATGTCTCTTTGGCCCCCTATTTGTAGGACTTATTGTGGTTGAGGAGCCTTCAAATAGTATATATATCGGGATATCTATTTAATACTATGTAAACTTGGATTAATTTTTATTTGGTCATTTATTTGTTCTCTGAAGA